TAGAATCTTTAGTCTTTAGTTTATTTTATTGTATTAAACAGTCTTTAGAACTGATATATAAAAATTCTAATATTTATGAAAATATTTTATTTTTAAAAATAATATCCTTTTCAAATTCTAATGTAGCTTAAACAGTAGTGATAAAATTATTGAAATTTAAAAATATATATATATATAATTTTTTATGAAAAAAATGAGATGCAAGCTTTGAAAAATGAAACTGAAATTTTCTGGTAACTGACAAAAACTTCATAATTTTGCTATTCATTCTAAAAAAAAACAAAATTTAATATTATTTATATCTTCATTTTAAAATTATGCCATGATGAAGTAGTTCTTTTTGATTAATATTTATTTATTTATTTATAAACATCAAAAACCAGTTAACTAAATTTTAGATAATTTCCCCAAAACTTAAAAAAAGTTCGTAAGACTTCGTAATGTTTTCGTAATGAAGTTCGTAATGAAGTGGCTTCGTAATGAAGTTCGTAATGTTTTATACAAAAAATTCTGTTGTTACTGTATTTATTCAAATTACTTTTAGTAATTTTGTTATTAACAAAGGAAATGATACAAATTTACTTTCTGCGGAAAAAAAATACCTTGATTATAAAATAATCATTTCGAAATCTATGAGTTACAAATCATACAAGAGGGTTTTTTCAATATGAAAAGGTACAATAAAAATTTCATTATGTGCATAAAGTAAAGCATTTATAGCATATATAATACTGGATTGTTATTTAAGTTAACTTAATAATTAAGTAATATAGTATTATGAGGCTTTAATTGCTAATTCAAATGAACAAAAATGCTTATTATATATTTATTTTATTTTACTGTAATTTGTATCTTAGATGTGACTTACCGACCCACAAATTGCACCAGCTACAAAGATAATATTTGGGCTCATTAAGTCCAATCCTTGATGTTTGTTACAGATTTTATCCAATTCTTTCGATTGGTTGATGGTTTAGTAAAGCAATTTTTTCAATAATTCCATTTTTAGTTCTGAAAAGAAAAAATATTTTGCGTGATTTTGAAACATATTGTGAAATTATTTGCATTCATTTTTTTTAAAAATTTGATATAACACACAATAAAACTTTATTTAAAATTCTTTTATAGTCAGACTTATTTCCATTATTTTTTTACTCCAAAAAATTATATTGTTAATGCACTTCATTAAAAACAGCCGTAGAAATAACTTATTAGTTTTTTAAACATAGAACTAATTCCGTTCACTTTACCTTGTTTATTTTTAATTCTCTTTCCCCATTCATTATTATATATATATATATATATATATATATATATATATATATATATATATATATGTAAGGATAATTAAATTAGATTAAAAATTAAATTCTCTATCTAGCACTTGACTCATCTCAGTCCCCATATTCAAGTATCAAACTAATCACCCATTTGTTTCTTCCGAACATATGGCCTAGCCAATAAACATGTCTAATTCCAGATAGTTAGATTTAATAGTCAACATATGTCAGCATTAACTTGCACGCAACCTCTTCAAAACAGCGATACTTACCATATGTTTTTCAAGTGTTATCCACTTAAAACCACCACCATGGCGTGCTTTTAACTCCCTGCTCTTAGCATCAGAATAGATGTAGAATTGGTTGAATAAAGACCGTCCCTTTTTCTAACTTTTAATCTGATTCTGTCTCCAAAATCATGACATATATATAGAATAACTACCGATCTTTATTAAAAGTATGCATTCAGAGGGTGTGAATATTAAAATATTACAACACTTAATTTCATAACTTATTAAAAAAAACCCTCCCGTCTTAAAATACTTTAAAAAGTATAAAGTTAGAAAAAATAACCTGATAGGGCCAGTTGAACAAATGAATAAATTTCCTATGTCCAATTTTTTATTTATTTATTTTGTCCACTAATGTAAATAATCAATGCTTTAAATAAAATTTCTGTTTCTTTTTTAAATTTATTTTATGAGAAATACATAACAAATATGTAATTCTATATATTTTCCAATTCTTTTAAATTTGATATGTATTTTATTAATGTAATTTTTAATATCAATTTTTTTTTTTACCATGGTGAAGCTTAAGCTCACACAGAAATGATTTTCCACTAGTTAGAAAAAGACCGATTCATACTTTTATAGCTAACTATATATTTATACTATATATAATACTATAAATATAGATAATAGACTATAAATTTTTATATATATCACATGTTTTTTTTCAGAGTTTACTTGATAATATATCATATAGGCTATAGAAATGAATATTTTAATAAAGAACAAATAAGCTTTGCTTGAGAAACTATTGAGTTTAATATTTTAGTAATGAAGATATTAAAAGTTGCAGCAGAAAAAAAGGTATTTCAATTAAAAAAATAGTAAAATGCTATAATTTTTTAATTTAGATTGTCGATATATTTCTTTTTTATACGGTATAATAATAGATATTTTCAATTTTTTTATCAATTAAAGAACACCACAGAAAATTATTATTTTACATCTTGTATAGAGAGTAAAAATTTATTAATACACCAAATAAATCCTTCCAGACTTCATTACAATTTTTTAGATTTTTTAATATTAGGAAATGTTTTTTTTTAAAAAAAATCTTGAATTCGGGAATCTTTTTAACGCAAATTATAACTTTTCTTAAAAAAGAATCGATTAAGGGATATACACCATTTTCTTGCGTTGCTTTTAATATCTTTCAGAAACAAAGTCAAAAAGGAAAAAAAAACAATCTTGATCTTGAGAGAATATACGTATTTTACTGTTATAACAGTAATTTATATATGATTATGCACACGATTTATCTACAGGTACATTAATTTTTAACATTAACATCTAAATAACAATTTTAGTTTTGTTTCATAATTTTGTAGAATTAAAAAAAATCTTTAACAATGTAAAATATTCATAGGGTAATTATTAGTGATAGTTTTTTTATGTAATTAAAATCGCAGACAGCTAATAAAGAATTTGAAGAACAAGTTATAGTGTAAAAATAAATCTAAAAAAAAGGTTCATAAAAATTTACAATTTTGATACATTTTATAAGCGATTTTTTTTAAGAATAACATTGTTTATTAATATGTATATAAAATCTGTATTCTTATTCGAAATGTTTATCGCTAGATCTCTTGGACACAGTATCACACTCAGGAATTTTACAACGGGGCGGCGGGTGGGGTTCCGGGTCAAAAGTTCACCATTCTTGTATCATGCTCCTTTTGACTTTGTCAATTTTCGGGAACAAAAAGAACAGTAAAAAACTAATAATGAATAAATAATTAGCATTAACGAACAAAATTAATCAATGATAACAAATATTTAATTCAATTTGACGTACTATGTACTTCGAATTATAATCAAGCGGGAAAAAAATAAAGGGCTTTGGGGGGTCAGACTTCTACGACACCCCCCTTGTGGGCGCCACTGCTTGGACATTCCCTTTGGTGGTAGTCATGTGAGATTGAAATGAAATTTTTTGGAAGTTGAAACAATAGCATTGATTATAAGCATTATCATCCGTGGAGTTAGCTATGCAAACTATTTGCACAAAATTAAATTTCTTTCAATTTTTAAGAGAAAGGTTTCAGATTCAAAATTGGAATTAAAACCTCTTTATCCAGCAACAATTCTCGTCAGTATATTCCAGCGAATTGTAAATTTTCTTCTCTCACTTTGAAAATAATATTTTTTTCACCTACATCATGTGAAAAAAAGCTATTTTAATTATTTACTTACTATCTTAAAATTAGCAGAAAGCATAATTAAGCAGAAAAAAAAGCTATTTTAATTATTTACTTACTATCTTAAAATTAGCAGAAAGCATAATTAAGCAGAAAAAAAGCGGCCACCTTAAATCAAAACGAAGATGTGCATCAAATAATCTTAAAAATTCCATTTAGAATAGGCATTGTTCGTAATCTTTGCCAAACAAACTATGGCCAATGGGCTAAATGTAACCCGCCTTGATATTCCATCCTCGTTGGCGAAAGTTTTAAACCAATCGTACAAAAATTATGATTTTTAAAGTTTTTTTAAAAATAATTTAACTATTTGTTCTATTTTTGTACATGAGTAAATTTCTGTAAAATATTATTTTGCATGTTGTCAACTTATATTAACACTAAAAAGACTGAAACTTAGTATATATACCTATATTGCCCAAAATCAGTCAAAATGATTGCATTGTGAAAGAATGATCAATGTGTAAAGAAATTTGTTTAAAATAAACTTTTGATATTTTTTTATATTATTTACAGTCGTATAACAAGTTATTAGTAAATATTAACAATAAAAAAATTACTCCACTTGGAAAAAAAATATATTCTAAAAAATTCTAAGAAATTGTGCATTATATATGTAATTGTTTTTCTAACTAAAATTAAAAAGCAGTCAAAATGACTCCCTTGGGCAATCTAGTGTTAAAACTGACAGCTTGTGCTTAAATTGATTTAGAAACCTTTGTATGTGCAAAAGTTGTATCCATCTAACAAGCACGCATGCAATTATTGAAATAAACTTATATATTTGTGTTTATATTTAATACAATTATATTTTAATTTTTTTTACAGACGAAAAGATTGAAAAAAATTGTTGCCAAATTTAATGTTGTAGTATTATTAAACTTTTTTCAAACTATCCTATGTCCTATTTTTTAATTTAAAAAAATTGTGCTTTTTTTTCATTTTAAAAATGGTTTGCCCACACCCATCCTAGATTATTATTCAGTTCAAAATCTCCCTATATATTTTTTATTTATATACATATTCTGTTCAAATTTTCAATCCTTAATAAAATACTTTTTATTCATCCATTCCAGCTCAAATACATTTTTTAAACTTATAGTGGATGACACTTCATGTTAATACAGTTTTTTCAAGTATTAATTCATTAGTTAAACTTAATTAACGAATAAAAAGTAACAAACAAAAATAATAGTCCAGCTCCATATATAAAAAGGAAAATCAATCGTTGTATCCCTGTAGCGCAATGAATAGCGCGTTGGATTTTTAATCCAAAGGACGTGTGTTCAAACCTCACCTGGGATGGCCTATTTTCTGAAAATGTAATTTATGAATGAATAAATAGTATTAAACAAAGATAATTGTCCACCATCATATATAAGTAGGAAAACGGAAAATCGCTTTCTATTTTGCTACTTAATATTCTGATTCTGCCAAGTGGATATACATATTTATATGAACTGTAGTTATTTAATAAAAAAGTAACTAAAATATATTATTTTTCTTTGTTGACATAAGTAGGAATTGATTTAGAATTTTTATTCTATTTATTTATTTACTTTTATTTCTATTTATTTATTTATTTCTTTTTGCTTATTTTAAAAATGGTTTGCCCATATCTGCCCTATATTATTTTTTTATTGTATGATTACGAGTAAAAGTCACACACAAACACACACACTCATTAAGGTGTCCGACTACGTTCGGAACCGTAATTTTGCAAAAGTGTATAAATGGATAATATTTATCGTATTTAGTGTCACTAAGATTAAAAAACGTACATAAAATTGTTTTAAGAATATTATTACAATAAAAATTATTTAAGTACAATATTTTGACAAAAAATGAACATAGAATGACTCATTTTCAAAACATTCTCCTTTTGTGAAAAATGCCTCTATTATAATAACATTTCGCCTGTATATAGCTCAGACCTCTGTACAGAGGCTGAACTAGAATTTTTGAAATATACAAATTAGAAGTGGATTTATTCAAATTTTACTACACCAGAGGGGAGAAATTTTAAGAAAAAAACGCCAATAATTATTTCAATTGGTGGTAACTCTGAAAATAATGTGAATTTTTCAAATATCCTAGTTCAGACTCTCTGGAGAAGTCTCTACTTCTCTCATGTAAGGGAAATATTTTTATTATAGAAGCATTTTTTATAAAAGGAAAGCATTTTGGAAGAAAGGTTACTCTAAGTTAATTTTTTGCGAAAATATTGTATTTAAATTTTTTTTTTGTCATAATGTCCTTAAAACAATTTTATACATATATTCTAATCTAAGTGACACTAAATATCTTGAAAATTGTCCATTTATGCGCTTTTTTTAAAATCACGGTTCCGAACGTAGTCGGATACCTTAAGTTTTCTTATTTCATTACGAAGGTAATAGATGGCTAATTATATATTCAAAAACACGGCAGAACTGCAACTTAAACTACCATTCCCTCTGAGAACCGTATCGGAACTAGACATTAGACGACGTTAACACAGCTTCAACCCCTTGTGAAAAAAAGCAGCACTTTCACTTATTGACTCTCCCACCTTTTCATCGCTCCCGAGTGGGGGGGAGAGGATGACGGAGCTAAATAAACTCCAAATAAAGAGGAAATAGATTGCAATTCGGTCTCTACTTCGATTTGGGGTACATGGAGTCTCGAATGGCCGTATCAGTCGAATGAAAGCTGTCTCTAAGAATGACGTATGCCAATAGATAAAGAGGTACAATCAATGTGTCAGTTGAATCACTAATTGTATCGCAGAGTGTCAATCAGATCACTTGAACAAAATGTGTAATTACTTAGTGCTGGAGATGATATAGATATAACACAAAAAGGAATTGCTGATGGATAAAGGAGGGGGGAAAGTATTAAGATATTTCAGATATATTAATTAATTTATAGGTGATTAATTGTTAAATCGGAGTTTCACAAATTGTGGGGTGTGCCTCCTAGGGGTGCGCGAGCATATTGAAAAGTAAAAAAAAATATTTGAAAAAATTAGTTATTTACTGAAAGTAAAACAAAATACATTCTGACTTGAGGTACCGACTACATTCGAAACTGTGATTTTCAAAATGCACATAAATAGATAATTTTCATGATATTTGGTGTCACTTAGATTAGAATACATGTATAAAATTGTTTTAAGGACATTTTGAAAAAAAAACTTTATTTAAATACAATATTTTGGTAAAAAGTAACTTAGAATAATCTTTTTTCAGAATGTTTTCCTTTTATAAAAAATGCTTTTAAAGTAATAATATTTTGCTTATATAAAGTAAAGACTTCTCCAGAGAATCTGAAATATTTTGTTTTGAAAAATTCACATTATTTTCAGAGTTACAACAAATTGAAGTCATTATCGGCATTTTTTTCTTAAAATGTATCCCCTCTGTTGTCGTAAAACATGGATACACCCCCTTCTAAGTTATATTTTACAAAAATTCTAGTTGAGCCTCTGTACAGAGATCTGAGCTATATACAGGCAAAATATTATTATAATAGAAGCATTTATCACAAAAGGAGAATATTTTGAAAATGGGTCATTCTATGTTAATTTTTTGTCAAAATATTGTACCTAAATAATTTTTTTATTGTAATAATATTCTTAAAACAATTTTTTATCTGCATTTTCTAATCTAAGTGACGCTAAATATCATAAATATTATCCAGTTATACGCTTTTGCAAAATCGTGGCTCCGAACGTAGTCGGATACCTTAATGAAACATAAAATAAACATTGGATTGCTATAATACATTTATAAATGTTTTGCCCTGGACCCCTCCCAAAGCCCTTGATTTTTTTTATTCATTATAATCCTATGTATATAGTATCTAAAATTTAATTAAGTATTTGTTATTAATAATTAATTTTCGTACTGTATTTTGTTGCCGAAAATCGACAAATCAAAAGAATATGTTGGGCATCGTAATGCAGCATGGTACGAGGTTACTGGTATTGCACAATGTATTTTATAATTAATTTAACAATATGCAATAAGTTAAGAACAAGTTTATTAATAACCAGTGACCCATGAACTTGTCAAATATAAATTTTTACAAAAAATTAACACTTACCTTGTATAATTAAATGTTTATAATTAATCATTTGACTGCCCTTTAAAAGTTACGCGATTTGCATTTCAATGGAACCAAGTCCTTCATTCCTTTCATATAATAGAAAATTATGACACAAACAGAAAAAATCCAAAATTATAGAAAACTTTAAATTACTCTTAAAAGGCTTTTGCCCTCTAAAGCATTTTAAATTATTTATTCTTAAGCTCGGTACAAAAAATCCTTAGAAAATGTTTCTAAGGATATATTCTTATTTTAACATATTATACTGTAATTCCGAATTTAATTTTATAGGCATCAATTTTATCTGTATTTATTACACAACAACCCATGCAACTGCACATTATAATAAAGTTATATTTATGGGGGGGGGAAAGGCAAATCTCACTCATTCATCACGTGATCTCTAAAGCTATTAGACCACACAAAGTTGAAAATTGGTAAACATGTTTCTTTTGTTCAGTAGAGATCTATTCAACGCAAGGTTTTTGGAAATCAACTCCCAAGGAAGGTTGTGGGGGCATTTTTGATAAAAATTCACCTTTTTTAGCTATCAGACATATGGACTTCAAATTTGGCAATTACATTTATTTTGTTGCGTAGGTATCCGTTGAAAATGAGTTTTGTAGAAATCTACTCTAGGAAAATTGAGGAGCAAAAGATAATTATACTTCCATTTTTTTAGAAATTCAAGTATTATCCTTTCTTAATCAAGAGGTGAGGCATATAAGAATGTTTTTCAATACATTATAAAGCTTAATGCAATGACTTAAATATCAATGGCATATATATATATATATACACTCATGTCCATAAATTAAGGATAATTCCGAATCACACAGAAATTGAACTCTGAAATAAAAATTTCACCTGTAGAATTATCACACACATCTTGAAGAAGAATATACAAATTACAGGAAACCACCAGATGGCGAGAATAGTACGTCACAATGACGAGAGTGTAAGAGAGGGGTATGTAAGGAATGGTGGCAAAGAAGTAAAATTGTTCACAAGCGCTTTAAAAGCCTTTCAGTGCAATAACCGCATAGTTATAGCACAAAGGAATCATCTGGATGATTTTTTTACGTGGTAGAATTATTGGATGACTGGAATGTGGACGTACCCAGCTGGAAGTATCCGAGGAACTTGGAATCGCCCAAAGTGTCATCTCCAGGCTTTGGCAGTGATTCCAAGATGATGGTAATGTGAGTAGATGTTACAGCACAGGTCGCTCCTAAGTTACTACGCCGAATGAGGACCGGTATTTGGCAGTCACTGCCAAAAGAAACAGACGGAGCGCAGCATCAGACCTGTCTCGTCTGCTCTCTTCAGCTACCGGTACGACAGTTTTAAGGCAGACCGTGTACAGACGCTTAGGGCACATTGGTCTATATGCTCGTAGGCCTGTCAGATGTGTTCCACTTAACGCAACTCATTGTCGCCTGCGATTAACCTAGAGTAGAGAGTAGGTATTGTGGACACCACAACAGTGGTCTTGTGTGATGTTTTCCGACGAGTCCAGGTTTAGTTTGCAGTCTGATTCTCGCCGGACTTTAATATGGAGAGCGCCAGGTACCCATTACCACCAAGAGGACACCGTTACGGTGGTGCAGGATGGCTCTTTTGGGGAGGAATTATTCTTGGTTTCAGAACTAACCTGCATGTTCAGAGTGTAACGATGACAGGCCACATATACCGAGATGTCATTCTGGAACAACATATACGCTTGTTTCAGGGCGCCATGGGTGCTGAATTTCTGTTTATGGATGACAACGCCCGTCCTCACCGCGCAAACATTGTAGACGAATGCCTTCAATCGGTGGATATCACCCGTGTGGATTGGCCAGGATACTCACCGGACATGAATCCAATAGAGCATGTGTGGGATATGCTTGGCCAACGAATTACAGCCCTTCAACCCCCTCCCACCTGTCTACTGGAACTTCGGAGGGCATTGCTTGATGAGTGGTGTAATATTTCCCAAGATCAGATTGATAATTTGATACTCAGCATGCCTAGGCGTTGTAAGGCCTGTACTGCATCGTCCGGGAGACATACTCCTTATTAACCATCATACTAACCATGTTATACTGTTTTTTTGTAAATCGGTTTTTTTTAAATTTGCTTCAGGGAGTAAAATTCGCAATTTTTATTAATTATGTAAAAATTATAGCATCTTTTTTGCTCTTTACCTTTTTTTAATAAATAGACTTTACAAA